GCAATATTCTGCAGATGAAAGAAGGAAATTCTAGAAACCTCTTTGGTATGGGATTTAAATGACAGGTCTTGATCGAAAATATGATTTGGTGTAAGAGGCAACCGCATGGAGAGCAGGATACCAGCTAATTTTCCAGTCGGTTACGTCAAAGCTATTGCCATATCTTGAGAGTGTTACCTTTGTTATAAAAATAATCTGTTAATCACAACCGGGGCATCTAGAACCATCAAGTCATCTCTATGTCATATATATATTGGTTCTGCCCAGCCACTGAACAAGGTGAGTCCAATCTGGTTTAACCTGTGCAGATTGGACTCGCATGGCTTAGTGGCAGGGCAGAACAGATAGATGAAATAGAGATGACTTGATGGCTCTAGATCCCCCGTCTATGCTGTTAATCGATTAAATAATTCTGTTTTGAAAAATTGCTCTTGTCATATAAAAAAGCAGTAAGATCCATCATTGGATAATAATTCTGGACATTCTGTACATCTCTTTGACAGCAATGATTACTAGAGCTGACAAACAAATGACACTAATGAACACAGTTAATATTAAGTGTGGGAACAGATAGCATGTTGTCTTCTTCTTCTTCTTTAGATTTAATTTTCCTTTTGGTCAGATGAAATACTCCAAACAACAACAACAGGCTGAGGTGACCCAAATCCGATTTTTTCGTGACCTGTATCTGATCTTTTCATGAAAGTCTTAAAAACACAGATCTGTTCATTTCCACTGCGACCCAGTCCACTTGGCTCTGTGGTCCTGAATCTGAAAGGTATCTGATATTTTCCAATGTGACCTATGTCTGAACAGCCAGGTCACATTTCATCCTAGCTGATCGTTTTTAACACTCAACAAAAGTCACTATTCTGCATCTTGTCAACAGTGGAAGACAAAGAAGCGGATCTTTGTTTTCAGCCTTCTTGAAAGGATTGCAGACAAAAAACTAACAAACAAAAATACTGTTCTGGTTGAAGCTAAAATTATTTTAGAAATATATGGGAAGTCATTTATAATCATAATTATATTCACTTATAGCATGGCATGGCAGCTGGATGCTGGGATACATCGGGTAAAAGTGAAAAAAAGAGCTATTCCACCTTTCTGATTCCTGATCCTCCACGGACGGGTTGGTCGTTGGATCGCCAACTTGAAGAGGGAGGATTTGCCATCGAACTTCTGGCCAGAGAAAAAACCCGTAATATGTAGCCAACATTTGGAAGAAGAATGTTTTCAAGATGACTTGGATAATAGCGCGTTGTGACAAACACCAGATACAGCACTGGGACTTGATCAACAGCCGATACCGCACCGTGACGTCACTAACCAGTAGGTGGCAGTAGTGTTCTTTGACAAACATGGATGCCTCCAGTAAAGCACATTCACATGAAAATTACTCTGAATTAAAAACACTGATCATTTATTGAACAGTGTGTAATAATTTCATATATTTTATTAATTTCATACATTTCGATTATTCAGTAAAACCCTCATTTGGACGATGGTCCAAATGATGCTTCATCCATTTTTGCTGGAGCACCCTGTTGTCTAAGCTGCTAGCAAAGGTATCTTTTATAACCTCAAATTAGGCCTGTGTGGTATCTGAGCCTGTTTGGGTGCAGTTTAGGTTTCTCTCTCTCTCTCTATCTGATAGGTGTGGCCACCTGTGCACACAAGGCATACAGTTAGTCTAAGTAATGTAGATAACATTTAGGTTATGTATCCTTTCGCTTTGGGGACCAGTGTCCATATTTCATCTTGACATGATGATGTGGAATCAGTTGTGGAATCTCTGCAACAAACCCCCGTTTTAGCCAAGGCCTCCACAGGCAAGTCACAGAGGTGTGACCAACAACCACCCCCCTCTGTGTGAGGACAGACAAAACCACAGAGCATACAGATTTCTCCCTCTTTTCTCTTTGCCTCCTGCGCTCTTAAACTAAAAGTATATACTAAAAGTATAAACTAAAGTGACCAGAAAAGTGACCAAAATAAATATAACAGATACATAAATAGAATATCCTATTTGGGTGGGAATAGTACACCACCAGCTTGTGGTAATTAAAAGATTGTAGGACTAGGCTACCATTTAAACTCCACTCAACTAGAACAAAAACCCAAATCAACTCACCCTTTAGCCTAGCATTTCTATGGGGTATTTTTTCTCACCCCTATTCTTCTAGAGGTGCTGCTGGCACCTCGTTATGGTTCAGCTTAGTTTCCTGCTGTGACCTGAGTTATTACTTTGAAGTTTCTGGCCCCTCAAAATTTTTCTCTCAATTGTTAGAACTACCATACCATACCATACCAACTTTATTTATGAAGCACTTTATACACCGAACAGGACCAAAGTGCTGTACACAATCATAAAATACAATAAAATTATAAAATAGAGAAAAAACGAGTGTAAAATACATATTAGTATACAAAAAGAATAAAACAAAGTGAAACGTCTCAAATTGTGTCAAAAGCCAAGGAAAAAAGATGAGTCTTAAGAAGGGACTTAAAAGCAGTAAGAGAAGAGGCCTGTCTTCTGCTCAGAGGCAGATCGTTCCACAGCTTAGGAGCTGCCACAGAAAAAGCACGGTCTCCTCTGAGCTTGCATTTTGTCTTTGGGACCCTCAGAAGCAACTGATCAGCTGACCTGAGGGAACGGGAGGGTGTATAAGAATGTAACAGCTCAGACAGATAAGAAGGAGCAAGGCCATTAAGAGTTTTAAAAACAAATAAAAGAATTTTAAAATTAATCCTAAAATGTACTGGCAGCCAGTGTAAGGAAGCTAAAACAGGGGAAATGTGGTCGAATTTTCGTGTACCTGTTAAAAGACGTGCAGCAGCATTTTGAACCCTCTGAAGATGAGAAATATACAAGTCGCTGACCCCTGTATAAAGTGAGTTACAGTAATCGAGCCGTGTCGTCACAAATGCATGGATCACTGTTTCGAAATGCTGTCTGGAAAGAATGGGTTTTACTTTTGCTAGCTGCATTAAGTGGAAAAAGCTGGACTTTATAACGGCTCTGATGTGCGCTTCCATTTTAAGACCAGCATCCATCTTAACCCCTAAATTTGTAATAACCGGCTTAACGTACTGAGCCAAGGAGCCAAGACTGGTCACAGAATCAGCAGTGGATCTGCCAAAGATCATTACGTCCGTCTTGTCCTCATTGAGTTTTAAAAAATTTAGGGCCACCCAGGCCTTCACATCTTCAAGACATAAAAACAGAGACCGAAGAGAGGTGGAGTTTACATTCTTTAGCGGTAAGTATATCTGTGTGTCATCTGCATAGCAGTGAAAGGCAATCCCATGTTTTCTTAAAATAGAGCCGAGCGGAAGAAGGTAAAGTGAGAAAAGGAGCGGGCCTAGAACTGAGCCCTGTGGGACACCACACCACAGTGGAGCAGAGGGGGACCTATGGCCATCAAGACAGACACAAAAAGTACGTTCAGCCAAATATGATCTAAACCAATCTAGAGCTATGTGACTATGCTATGTGAGCTATGTGAGCTATGTGAGCTGTGTGAGGAACAATGCCTGAGGACAAGCTACTATTTACAAGAGCAAGGACAGAAGGACCTATAGCAGAGAAAGCTTCTTTAAATAATTGGGGCGAAATAACATCATCTGGAGAACCAGTTGGCCTTAAGTGATTAACCACCTCCTGCAATAATTGCAAGTTCACACATTCAAAGCTGTGGAAAACACCAGAACAAGGCACCACAACTGAAGGATCATAAGAAGAGGGGAAACTACGTGGGAAACTGCCCAGAACTGAATATATATATATATATAAATATTTTCCCGAAATTCCCGAAGATTCCTGGGAGGAGAGCCGCGGTGGGGCCTCCACAGCTCGTACTCCTGCGGGTGTGAGCGGCTGAGATGATAAAGAAAAGTTGGTTGTGTTATCAGACTTCGTTTTCACTGGTTCCCGACACATTTTCCAGATGACTGTGGTTTGTTTTTTGTCCGACTTGCCATGACCGAAATACTGCCAAACTGGCGAACTACAAAAACCCTTCTTTGGAACAATTTCCTCCGCCTCTCCTTGCTGCATCATCTTCATGTGCTCTGTGTTGTGGTTTGAGAGGGCGGCGCTTGGAGACGGCGTGCCTGGGTCGGCGATTGTGATTGGTTGGGAGGAAGTAGTGATTAGCATAAACCTACATGCTAGGCTACAATGAGAAGGAAGGAAAACTGCGTTTCTTTATTGAACTTTTATCGACTCTCTTTTTTTCTATTGCTCCACACGTCTATCGATCGATATATATCGTTATTGAATTATCGCCCAGCCCTATGATAGAGTATCAATAGTTTGCATCCAATCATTCAATTAAAGGCTCTTAGTTTTTGGGAATATATAAGAATTCTGCTCTAATTTGTAGTTACCGATCCATGTTACCATATTTTAATTTCACATACCGGATCTTCTTTGATGCGATTGCAATTGCAGATCTTGACATGGCTCGACCAGAGTGGAGCAAAAAATAGCTTGGATTCATGTTTTGACGGTGAACGACAGAGAAAATGTACGTGGATGGTGATGTACGGAGGAGTAGTGGTGGATGTAGAACAGTTCTCATTGAATAACACGAAAGACAATTACTTTGCACGGAGCGCTGATGGAGTATGTGGAATCTGGTTAGGTGTTGTCTTCTCATTTCATGAGAGCTTGTGTTTGCCTAGGGCCCCAAAGTTCTTAAATCCACCCCTGGAATGGATATGAACCTGGCATGTCGTTATGCGTTAGCACTTAAGTTGTGTTGAAAATGCGGACTGGATTTTTATCAGAATGATATGTTTATATATCAATAAATGGAATTGAGTTTATTTTTAATGCCTGTCATTTCATAGGGTGAAAAATTTAGAATATGGAGTGAGGATAGAAGAAGAAACTGAGAGTCTCAGGCCCAATGGGTGAGAGTTGACAGCCCAAAAGTAGTGTTTCCTTTCTAAATAGCCCAGATGAAAGCAAGATGGCATGATGATGCACTAACCTGGCAGGCATTGTAGAGCAGCTGGTGCTCAAACTTCTTGATCCCAAGGATCTGTTGGAACATCTCATACAGCTGATCCTTGCTCAGGATGAGCTCAGAAGCAGCGCTGGCTGTCATCCTCTGCTGCTGCTTCCTGAGGTCTTCCTCTCCTCGATAGATGGTGTCAAATTTCGCTATCCAGGAGCTCAGCACAGTCTCTTTGCTCAGGCCGTCGATCTCAGGCAGGCTGCGAACCCGCTTCTCTATGTGCTTCTTAAAAACGTCACGGGAATCGCTGGCCGAAAAACCACCGCTTTGCACCATCCGTGACACACGATCACTTTTCAGGAAGATCTGAAATCAAAGAATTTTTTGTTTTATTGGTTTGGTTTTTATACACTCTTAACATGATAATCCCCTTCTCTTGACCTAGTTTCTCTTTTTCTCCTTCTCATCTCTTTAGCTACCATTTTACCCTGTTGCACAAACCTGAACACCATACATTGGAGCTAGAGATTAAAACTAGCAGGATTTTTTTTCCTGCTTAGGTCTTGATAGGCCCTCGGGTCTGACGGAGTATTAGGGACAGAGTTTTATTTTTTTTTAATACATGAATAAAGTCATAACATTACAAAAATAAAGTCATAAAATTATCTCAATGTTACGACTTTATTCTCGAATTAAAAAAAAACAAAAATAAATTCTAGCCTGGCCCTAATGCTCTGACTGTACCAGGTGGGCTGACATGTATTTCTGACCTGATGGTGTGAATTTAATTAAACAAAAAGATTTTATACAATTCATAACAAATAATCAAATGAAATAATGTATTAATTAAAGAATAAAAACACCCTTTTAATATTATAGCTTTCAACTCTGACCCCTCAGGGCCGGCCCCCTCCTCCGAGAGAAGAATACATAGGTGACTGTGTTTCAACCTGTGGAAATGGTGATAAGCTGCAAAAGAACCAGAAAAGCTCAGAGGAAAAAAAGGACTCAAAGGTGGACCCAGGTGGACGCAACCAAATGCACCAAAACAATGTTTGTTTTTAGGACCGATGTGACTGGACCAGCAGATTGAAGTAGACATCCAGTTCGATTCAGACAAGGAGGAGGAGAGAAAAACCCAGATAGGAGACTGAGTTCAAGGTCCAAATTAAATCCTGGTAAATGTTAGGGTTCCAGTTTGTGGTTTGTTTTTTGTTCTCTTTCAGTTCCTCCGTGCATCCACCAGATGGTGCCATTGTTCTCTGCTGGTCTGGAGGGCTTCATGTTCTCATCACTTCCTGAGGAGTATTTAAGCAGCAGACTGTCTTCACTTCCTCGCCAGAGTGTTTGCCAGTAATCAGTACTCTTAACCCCTCAGAGTTTTGCTGAGTCATGTTTGAGTTCTAGTTTCTTCTGACTTCTCAAGCTTTAACCAAGTTTTCTCTTTGTGATTCTCCGGCAGGATATCTACGGATCCACTGGATAAGCAAGGTCCTTCTAGCCTAGGAAAGAACTCTCTCGTCATGCTGAGAAAGGGAGTCAGAACTCCTTATCTGAACGCCGTTCAGGAACAAGTGACAGTCTTCTCCGATGCTCCTAAGGACCACATTGTCTGCCTATCCGCCCTCCAAAGAACAACACCTTCGACACTGCAAGCCTCCACAAACAGGAACTCTGGAACCTCCCCAAACCACAACAGTGAGTCCAAGTCAAACCATAAATTCAGACATCGACCTGTTTTCCCACAGACCTTGAACTCACCACTCTGATCTCCTCCTACAGTTTCCGCTTCCGGATCACCTGATCCCTGGAACCTCCCCAAGCTGGAGAACAGTTTTCTATGTCTTGTTCTGCAGTCTTTCCATTAAACTGTTAAACCTTTTTCAAATCTCTTTGAGTCCTTCTGCATGTGGGGAAGACACATTAGACCCATCATGAGAGTAAGAAGTAACAGAAAATATTTATTCTAGCAGAATTAATTCATTAAGCATTGATAATAGTTAGTTTATTATTATTCCAGATAAAAATTAACAGAGTAGTTTACCATTTGCAGAGGTTGGTAGAGACTAGTTGCATTTATTTGAGAAGCATTTTGAAGAAACGTTTTTCAAGAGCAATTTTACCACAGGTACAGTAAAGTACGGCTGGGCAATTAATTTCATTTGAAATATAATTGCAATTTAACAAAAGGCAATTTTAAAATCGCAGAGGCACTCAATTTTGGTAATATTACATTAAATTAAACTCAATTAAGTTGTTAAATATTTTATTCCAATCGTTTAGGTGGTGGTAACAGGCTCAAAGTAGGTTTGCAATCATCGCAGGAGAGAAGAGAAAGATGGAGCTAGCTCACATATTCATGCTTGCAAGTCGAAGTTGGCAGTTTTTTTAACACAAAGGTCCCGAAAATAAAAAAATTTGACTTCGGACAGCTTCCAAGGTCATGCAAAACTCTAAACCCTTTACTAAAGAATTTACATGATTGTAGTTAGCGCAAGGAAAAATTAAATAAAAATCACAATATTAGTTTAAGATAATTGCCCCCAGGTTTCAGAACTCCTTCATCCCGGTCAAGCTCATTCCAAAAAGTTTTTAAAAAAACCAATCCACTGGACTTTGTTTCCAAGTTTAAAGACGTTTCTCTTCCCACCCAGGAAGCTTTTTCAATTCAAAATGTCAGAAATAGTTTTGAGTTAGAGTTTTGCTTGAGAAAACTTGCAAATTGTGCAGGACAACGAGTCCACCCCCTTGGAATGGGGGCATTGCAGGCCGACAAAGAAGCCAAACAACCCCCATTCCAAAGGAAAAACCTATGCACTAAACAGAGTATTCATTTAGAATATGTCTGAAATTTAAATTTCCTTTCCTACATACAATTTATTCAAAATTGTCAAACTGCGAAGTTTAGTTTGTATTTTCTCTAATGCTAAACTGACAAAGTCAGAATTTCAACTTGGATCCACTACAGAATGGGTGGGTGGGTCTCCTGACAGATGGAGCTATGGTAAACTTCCTTGTTTTAATACTGTGAACTTTGTAAAATTTGACAGAGTCCTGCACGGGTCGAGTTTTACCAACCCGCACCCGCCCAAACCCGTTAGGATGACTACCGAACCCGACCAGTCACCCGCGGATATCTTCAATTCGAATCCGAACCCGACCCGTTGATATTTAACCCGCAACCCGACCCGTTAACACATCAAGTATTAGGCTATAGTACGCTGCGCTGCAGAACAGCGCCATTAACACTGCAGCAGACGTGTATGCACTGACTGTGGCCTTTTTGGAGGTAAGCCCACACTGCCGGCAGGGCTTTAAGCTACAACAAGGGTGACCCCAGACAGTGCCTGATTAATAGAACATTTCTGATGTCTTTACCAACACACACGCATAAAAAAAAATCACCAACTACCCGCCCGCACTAAAAAAATATCCGCCCGACCCCGCGTACCCGTTTATTTTTATTTATGTATTTTTCACCCGCAAAAGAGCATTTTAGCGGGTGACCCGTCGGGGACCCGCAGGTACCCGACCCGTTGCAGGACTCTAGCTGGTACTCCTCCCCTGTGGAACCAACTACCAGTTTTAGTCCGTGAGGCAGACACCCTGTCTACTTTTAAGGCTAGGCTTAAAACTTTCCTTTTTGATAAAGCTTCTAGTTAGAGTGGCTCAGGTTATCCTGAGCTATCTCTATAGTTATGCTGCTATAGGCTTAGACTGCTGGAGGACATAGGGACCCCTTTTTCATCATCCTGCTTCATTCTATCTCTATTCTCCCACTCTGCAGAATCTGTTAGTTCAATCTCTAACGTTCTGCTCTCTCTGCTTTTTCTCATAGTAGCTTCATCTGGTCTGTTCCTGTTTGGCTGTGACTCCATCCTGGAGAGAAATATCAGCTGTGCTGCTGCCATCAACACCTTTGTTTCTAGATGTTGGAGCTTGGCCTGTTTTCCAGTGTAGTCCTGTTTCTCTGACTGTGACTAACTGGATGTGCTCTCTTCATCCTCTGACATGGGAGCTGGCTCGGAGCTCGTCTGCCTGGCTGTGTGTTTCCTGGACGGGGCCGCCTGTGGAGCTGGTTGACAGTTGCCTTTTGTATCTATGCTTCTTTTTCTATGTCTGCTTCTGTCTCCTTGAACCCCAGTGGACCTCAGCAGATGGCCGCTCACACTGAGCCTGGTTCTGCTGGAGGTTTCTTCCTGTTTAAAGGGAGTTTTTCCTCTCCACTGTCGCTACAAGCATGCTTAGTGTGAGGGATTGCTGAAGAGTCAATGAGTCGATGCAATCAGCTGGTTTTCCTTAGATAGAAAACTTTGAATCAATCTGACTGGATGATCTGGTGAACTGGAAAGTGACCTGAGATGACGTGTTGTAAATTGGTGCTATACTAACAAACTGAATTGAAACAGGCCCAGTAGTCTGTAGTATGCATATATTCTCTTGTTTGTGTCTGCATGCATCTTATAAATAAACATGTAGTAAAGTTTACATTTAGAAAGCATTATAAACTCACCTCATAGTAGCTCTGAACAGCATTGATAAAAGCCTCGTCAGCCACAATCTGAGTTTCTCCATTGAGGAATGCCTGAAATCGCTCTTTGACGGTTTGCAGCTGCAGCTTGCTGATCTGAAGGACACAGAAAATAATGTGAGGCTAAAAGAAAAACAAAGCAACAATATCACCACTGAAATACATAAAATAGAATAACAACCTTCAATGGAATGGAGGATGAAATAAGGTTCCCTATAATCATTTATCTTGTATTTCCTTTTTCCCTCCTGTCTTTTCAGAGATAATAAGGCTCAACGAATCTTTAAAAAGTCTGTGGTTTGACATCTTTGGCAGAAGTGGCTATCATGTTAAATTAATACAGTTCACTTTCCATAACTAGAATTGCATTCTTCTCTTTGCCAACTACATCTTATCTTCTGTAATTGAACTGAGGGCAAAGAAGAAATATCTACTCAAATACAATCAAAAATAACAAGAAATAAGACCAATGAAAACTCAGAGATAAAACTCGAACTGAAAACTATAACACTCAGCTAGGAAATGTTTGGATTAAATGTTAAGCAACAGCATCTACCTGAAGAAAAATGTTTCTAGTGATCAGAAAGTGAAAGGTTGATACATTACTACATACTAGAATTTATTTTTTAACTCGCCATGCAACAGCAGAAGGGAGTTTCAAGCAGATAATAAACCAAAATGCACATTTTTAGACCGGTAATTTATTTTGTCCCTCAAAGATTTAGATTTCAAGCAGAAAAAAAGTAGAATCTCACTCAAACTTGCCCGAGAAAATTCAGAGCAAAACTGTTTAAAGAGTTTAAAAACTGCATTTAGAAAAAAAACACTGTCAGAGGATAATCTTAATGTTGTTTGGGAAAAGTAAAAAAGAACTGCTTGATTGCACAGAGAGGAAAAACCCAAACTGGTAGTGGATATCTTCGGTGGGGGAAACAGGACCTGGACTCGCCGAGCTGTATTACAGCTCCTGTATTGTAAAGCGGGGATAAAATGTCTAAACATCACTAAATAATAACAATAATTGAACATCATTGATCTCACAATGGAGAAATTCCCTTCTCTATCTTAACTCATCCCCTTTGCGGAGCAGTGGGGATGACAAGTGCACTGCTTTAACCAGTAGGCTGGACCATACAGATACATACATTAATATTTTATTTAACTGCTGAGGACATTTAGTCTGTCCCTGTCTACTTTTAAGGCTAGGCTTAAAACTTTCCTTTTTGATAAAGCTTCTAGTTAGAGTGGCTCAGGTTATCCTGATCTATCTCTATAGTTCTGCTGCTATAGGCTTAGACTGCTGGAGGACATAGGGACCCCTTTTTCATCATTCTGCTTCATTCTATCTCTATTCTCCCACTCTGCAGAATTTGCAATTCAGTCCCTAACTCTATGCTCGCTCAGTTTTATTTTTTTTTCGTCATAGCTTTATCAGGTCTGTTCCCGTTTGGCTGTAGAGTTTTTTTTTTTGTTTTTTTTTTTATTTTATTTCAACAAACATTTACATGAAAAAATACTCTCAGAGAGGATAACAAATGTGAACATGAACAGATAAAGATCAATTACAAGAAAACAAATAAGTAAAACACTTAACAGGGGATTTATCTCAGCAAACAATTAAAACAAACATAGACAAAGCCATAGAAATAATAGAAACAAAAAGGTGAATGCACTTAAAATAGCAGATGTTTGGAGAAATCCAGTCTCAAGTGTTTGGCATATTTGTCATTTTTTATCTTCTTAAGAAAAAAAAAATAGATTTTAAAGTCATTCATAAACCAATTAAAAGAAGGTTTAGAATTTCTCCATTTAGCGCAGTGGATATGATATTTACCGATCAGCAGGAGGACATTAATAGTGTAAGAAACAGGCTGGGGAAGATGGTCCATATAAAAAATAACATCATTTAGTGCAAAAGGGGGGACATCATTAATTTTTAAAGATATCCAGTCAGAAGCGGCGTGTAGCGGGACAGAGGTAAAAAATATGTTCAACGGTTTCACTATTGTTATTACAACAAAAAGAACATTGATCCTCTTTAAAACCAAATCTTTTTCTTAAAAATTCTGCCACAGGATACATTTTGTTAATAACTTTAAAATGTGTTTCTTTGACTTTAGGTAAAATAGGCCATTTAACAAATTCTGAGAAAGTTTTATCGACTATATCTGAGTTAACAGAAATATCTCTCCTCCAAGTCAATCTATCATAATCATGAAATTTTCTGGCTTTCGAAAAACTGTTAATAAATTTATTATTGCATTTTTTATCAAGCAAATTACATTAAAAAATCAACAATCTGGGCAGTATTGGTGGGTAATTATTATATAACCTAGAGTTTTTTATCAGTTGAATTAAAGGCAGTGGAATCGATTTACACAGTTTGTTATATTCTCTTATAGAACACTTAACATTATATTTTTCTAAAAAAATCTGAATAATTTATAATATCGCTGTTATCCTCCAATAAATCAGTAACATAAATAATGTTTTTGTTAAACCATTCCTTTTTGAAGATAGATTTGCGATTAATTGTTATTACCCTATTGTTCCATAGAGTTGAGCTATGGGGAGAAAAGCTATGGGTGAAAATCATTTTCCAATAATGCAAAATCTGCTTGTGGAAGTTGGACAGCTTGATTGGAATCCTGTTTATCTCAAAGTCACATTTTAGAATAAAGTCTAAACCTCCTAATTTATCAAATAAGGATCTTGGAATGTGATCCCACATAGAATTCGGGTGCCGTTTGGCTGTAGAGTTGTTCCAATAAAAATATCGGAACTGTCTGGGCATCGGGATCAGCTATTATTTTAGTCAAGGCACCTTTCCAATACCATGTCAATTAAAATATGAATCTATTTACTGGTTAGCTCTGAAACAGTTCCTCACAGTTCCCTGTGCTGCCAGCTGACTGCTGTGAAGAAGAGCTGATCACCTGATGCCCTTCTGAAATGGAGCTTTATACTAAATCTCCCTTCTTAGTTTTGAATAAATTGTTTAAGTCCTTGTCCTGAGTTCTGGCTAAAATGTGGTTCTTCTGTCTGGATCATTACATTAAGTTAGTCATCATACTTCATTTAAGTTAGTTTAAGGTTGTGATCCAGGTGTTTTATTTGTTTAACTACCTGCTTTTATTAAACCATTACTTTACTGTTAAATTAATGTAAATGACTTTAAATTGTCTTTGTACTGAATTGAGCTATATAAATAAATGCCTTCCATTATACCTGTGCAGCTAGTTTAGGGTTTTTTATTTGATTTTTATTAGTAAACAACAAAACGAAAGCAAATAGAAGCTGCCCCAGATGCTCATCCAGGAGGAGGGTGTGGTCAATACATCCATGGTATTCCTTAGAAACTTTTTACCAGTCTGACTGTTTGATCTAATTATTTAACTGTCTTAATGCCTTGAGAAGAAATGTGTAACAAATTGGGCCTATATAAATAAATTACATTTAATTACACTGCTCTGCTCGCTTCATTTCTTATAATAACTTCATTTGTCTTCTTGATGATCATAGTTTTATTTATTTTTTACATTTCATACCTCTGCTGTTGGCTGTTTGTTTTTTTTGCAGATTAAATAAATGTTTCAATATCTTTCCTTTAATTATTTGCAATGATTCATACCTTTAGCAATAATAGGTTGGATTTTACACCCAGGAGCAGCTCATTAATATCTCCAAAGGTAAAATAGTATTTCAGCTACTTCTGCAAGTCCCAGCTGAGTTGAAAAGGAGGCGCTATGGAAGGAGAGCAGGACCAAGAGGACAGAAGTAATCTGAGATGACAGGGAACACGTCCCCTCGACATTTTGAAATGTCAGTTTTGGTCCCCTGCAGTTTTTATTCTCCACAGTCAGCGTTACACTACCGAACACTGAGATGTGTCCAGCGACCAACCCCTCTTCCCCGGGTTCAGACCGCCCAAAAGCTCCTGTATGATTGGCTCTGTCTCGCTGTTGCTCCTCAGAAGCTCACATTATAAACATCGAATGAATGTGATGAATCGAGTCTGAGGTTGGATGGCCATATGGCTGCAGTCCCTACAAGTCCTACCTGAGGAAACTCGATAAACGAAATGCTTTAAAGGAAAAGTCGCTCATATTCTGAATTCAAACTTCTGAAAGTTCTTTAAATCTGAAATGATTCCATCCTGTTCAATAAATGATCAGTGTTTTTAATTCAGAGTAATTTTCATGTGAATGTGCTTTACTGGAGGCATCCATGTTTGTCAAAGAACACTACTGCCACCTACTGGTTAGTGACGTCACGGCCGTGGAGGATCAGGAATCAGAAAGGTGGAATAACTTTTTTTCCACTTTTACCCGATGTATTCCAGCATCCAGCTGCCATGCACGTGGGCGTTGTCAGTTTCACTATAGCTCTGGTGAATTTCAATGGTGAAGTCCTCTGGAAATCTTCAATAATTGTTGTTGATTGCAGATGTGTCTAGTAGTTCCCATTGATTTAGCTTGGAAAGCGGGGAGAATGGCGCTAGGCTAACCGCACCGTGACGTCACTGCTGGAAGATGGCAGGAGGGAGGGGCTACTATATTTGGGCAAAAATGGCCGCTCCCAGACTCAGTGATCGCAACGAAAAATATTGTTTTTATTTTTCTACCGATTAACACTAAATTCAATAATTGACCTCGAACGTAATAGTTTTAGGTATAAATAATGATCCATTGATTATTCCTTGCTGACTGGACTTTTCCTTTTAAAACTTTATGTCTTTGTATCAAGCTTTATGAAATTCTTTTAAACATCTGGGGTAGGATATATCTACAGGAGACTGGTAATTGGTTTATAAGAAAGATCATAATTAATTTTAGTTAATGTTGGGACGCCTGCAGTATATCTTTCTAATGAGAACATATCTCACATCAGTTAAACCAAACAGGTTCCATTCTAACGATCCAGATGTGTGCAAAAATATATGCGGCAAAGTGAACTCTGTTTAGGTTGTTAGGATTATTCTTATTGATGATGTGAGTCTGTTAAACACTAATAATACCTGCCTGGTGTGTGTCATACTGATGTTTTCCATAGTAGTTTATCTAATTAGGACAGTTCCTCTGTCAGGAGACAC